CGCTTATATTCATTTATAGGCAAGTTTATGAGTCTGAGACTGCTGGGTTTCGAATCCCAGACCAGACCATGTGGATTTTTAATTAAATTGCATGGTTCGGTTTAGGATTTGATGTGTGGCGTATTAATAGAAATTCAATTTCTGTTGATATGACATGCAGATTAAAAAAATTCGCCATACATTACCGTCTCGATGATGGTGGGTGAGGTTTTCCGGGTTTTCCTCACCTGTAAGTCAAATGGCACCATCAATCATCTTTAAGTCGCCCCGGAGCGCCACGGCAAATAATAATAATAGCCGTCCCTTTCCCCGGACAAGCTCAGCTTTTGGGGTTAAAATTCACTCGTAAGGGGGTGAATTAGGGAGAGTATTATTATTATTATTATTATTACTAGTACTCCTCAAGAGGGGTTTCTTTCTATGTCTGTAAAGGAGCAGTTTGTTGTGTGTGGACAATTTAATGATTTTTCCTAGCAACCGTAGCAATCAGTACATTCGTTTGTGTATTATAACAAAGTTCTTTTCTTTTCAATATGATATTTCCAACGAAGTCTAATGTCAATGCTGAATTCGCGCAAGGAATCCGAATGTCATTTAGTTTAATCGAAATATATTGATTTTGTTTATTTCTGAAATTAATCTGGACATATTTCATTTCATTCAATAATTTAATTGAACATCTTTTCATCCAGGTGTTAATCAAATCTATAGAGATATATCTTCGCAATCCTTTTGTACAGCCAGGAAAACATATTCAGCAAAAATGTTGCGATAGTCTTATCTTAAAATCAGAAATATATCGGGTAACTAGCAAGTGTAGTACTGGACCTAGTATACAGTGTTGAGGCCCTACCTTGATTTATCTTAGATCGGAGTAGACTTTTTCCTATTTATTCTGATATACCTTTCTGATAAATATAATTTAAATGGTTCTAAATGTTGATGTGTTCAATTTATGAACCTTGTCTGTATGACATACTTTGTCAAAAGCCTGAGCCACATCTATAAAGACGTTGGAGGAAACTTTCTCTCTTCTAGGAACTTTTGGATGATATTTGTAATTCTATGAACTTGGTCGATGGTCGAGTGTATTTCTCTAAAGACAAACTAATGGAAAGGTATGAGGTATTTTTATTTTATTTGTTGTCTTCAAATTGTTCTATTTCCAATTCATTTCTTCATATAATTAATGACGACGTAAACCACAAAAAATATTATTAATTTTAATTAATACAGTTCTAGTATCATACGTTATGACGGTTTTATAATTAAAAGCTAAGTAAACTTATTAACATAGATCAATTAAAAACCTTTTTATAAATCGATTATTTATTCATCTACCTATATTCTCACGTCACTGATTATAGCCTTTTTCGCCACTGACCTAGAATCTGGCGTAAATATATTTATAAATGGGAAGAATTTAAAGTTAGAATAACTTTGAAAACTAATGATTAATGTTTGATATTGTTAACTTCAAGTCTACGTTATTTTAATCAAAATTGGTAACGTAACTAATACCTCAGTACATTAAGGCTTTTTAACATGCAATCCTGCATTAACGAATGTGTAACCAGGGGCGGGCTCCTAAAGGTTATGGCAAAGCAATGAAAGTGTGTTTATTTTAATAACTCATAGATTGGACATGATTTATATATAAAAAAAAATTGAATATATAAAGTAAGAAACGTAAGAAACATTTTATTAGACAAAAATTCAGTATCAAAAGCAAAAATCATCTAACGTGAGTTACTGTATCAAGGGGAACCTACATTGCTTTAGCCATTTTTTCATTTTTAATGATATATTAAAGAATAACTTTTTTCTATTGGTAGCGTAGTTAAAGAGCTTTGGTGGTGAATTCGATATTTTTATAAATTTTTTTTACCTAAGTAATGATTTTCAAAAAAGAAAATATTTTTAAAAAGTGGAAACCAATATTATAGACAGAAAAGTAGAAAGTACTAACAGTAAAGTAAAAAAGTACTGAGAATAAAGTAAAAAGTACTGGCAGAAAAGTAAAAAATATCTACTGGCAATAAAATAAAAAGTACTGATAGTAAATGAAAAAATACTGAGATGAAATTAAAAAGTACTGAAAATTTAATAATAAGTACTTTTTTATTGAAAAAAAAGTGGTCCGTTATGGACTCTAACCAGAAATCAGTGGTGGCTTGTGATAATTTAAAATGGTTGTTCACTTTTTCCAACAATTTTAATATTTTTCACAATTTGTCACACATGTCAAATAAAATAATATATTTTTAAATACATTTTTTTGGCAAAAAACAAGTGAACTAAAATGTGTGTTTTATAAGATTAGTCCCATTACAATACATAATATTACACAGATACAAACTAGAATGAAGATATGTAATACTTGGCATTCTAAATTATACTCTTCACAGTTAGTTTGACAGACCCCCTTAACCCTTAACCCTTAACCCCCTTTTCAATCTGATTTTTCTCAGAATCAATAGGCTTGTAGAGCTTTTTCCAAAAATTTCAAGTTGAATATTATTGTTTGTTTTTGAGTAAGATTTATTTTAAATATAATAACCCCTATTACACCCTCACTTTCATTCAATTTTCTTTTTCAATCAATAGGCCTCATATCCTTATAGAGCTTGATTTCTACTAAAAATTTCATGTTGATATCGTTTTTTATTTTTAAATTTTGATTTGTTTCTTTTTTTTTTAATTTTAACCCCTCCAAAACTGACTAGCTCGAGTTTGACATATGTCGTTAAAGGGTAACGCAAAAGTGCAGACACTTTTAATACCGTCATTGCATTTCTTCATTCTATATCTATGATTTGAAAGATTCGTAAGCCCCGCCCCGGATTTTAGTGATTTTAAGCAGGTCATTGTTCGCTTCACGGATCTGTTAACGTTTTGACATTTCTTTTTAGCTAGAGTCTTTCGGGAAAGCATCTCGCTCCCTCGGGCTCACTCAGAAAAGTGAGCCAAAGAGACGAGATTAGTCAGAGCGCAGTAGCGTACCAAAAAAATTTATTAAAATTTAATTTATTATTATTTTATTTATTTTAAAGTATGAAATTTATGAACTGTAACTGGGTGTTCACCGCACAAATGGACCAATGGAGAAACCGTCCCTGCCAGAAAAATATACCAATCATAATATTTTCTCCTGTTTTAAAAATTATTCTAAATAATTTTAAACAAAAGTAGATGTTGCACTATGGCAAGTGCACATATATTTTTTTTAATACACTACCAAAAAATGACTTTCATTCATAAAAATCAATAAATATTATTGTTAAAAATTATTTCCATCCATTTTTGTCTTCATCTCATTATTGTTCTACTAATATATAGAAGTAACTCTCAAAATTACCCAAATAGAAACAACTAGACTCACGCCACTGGGCAATATTAATAACAAAGAAATTAAAATGGCAACCTCAAAGCCAGCTTCCTATATAAAATGGTAAGTGTTAAAAATAAAACTTTTCCTGCGCCAATGAGTCTGAACAAACAGACAGAGAAATTTTCCAGAAAAGTTTTCGTAAACCGAAGCCGAAACCAAATTATGAAATGTTATCGGATGGCACCGTTTGTAATTTAGAGTTTCCATTGTGTGTGATTATCTGCATGTTTTGTTCTATTTTTAAGCCCTATAACTAATTTTCTCCTTGAATACTATTAAACTTTCTGGAAGCAAGTAGAAGACGTGTACTATTTTTGTCGTTGCAATTACCTGCTGATTAGATTCAGTCATTATAATCATGAATGAAATAAAAATAGTTTTTGATGAATCGCTACATGCAGAATATCAAAAAATACGACTTAGAAATCTTTCTTAATACCCAGCCTATAGACATATCTCTCCCATCTGAGACACATGACAAGTTGTAACATGAATAGCTGATTATTTTTCTTCTTTGATATACATATGTGTTTGAGATTAATTTATAGGGGGCGTGGGTTAGGTTTTTAAATAACTAGTAACTTTGAAAAAGAAGTTGGGCACCACTATATTTGAAGCTTATACACTCTAGGTTAGTGATAAAAATATAGAAAATTACTAACTACTAACAAATTATACTTAAAAAATTCTTTAGATAAGGTAGGTATCAAATTCTAATTCACATAAGTTTGCACGTAATTCAAATATAAAACAATTTATTGATTAGATCAATTGCACTTATCTGTGTGGTAAATAAGGTAATATTCGGTATGGTAAGTTTAAGGTAAAATCAGGTATTTCATCCTTCGTTTCGAACTGCAGAGGTACATCAATCCATAAACATTATATACTGCACAAAATATATATTAAATAACATATTATTAACAAAACTTACCTTATAAAATCAGACGGTCATTAACATAAATAAATATAAATTAGTATTTCGGATGATCGAAATTAAAATAAAGTTATAGTGATCGTCGCTGTCAGTCAGATCAAATAAAAATCTCACTTCCTCTGACACAAAGCATAGACGACAAATGACATTTGAGTAAGAGGTGATTGTGTCCGAAATAACGAAATAACGGTTCCAACCGTTACAAAGTCAATCTTATATTAAGATAAAAGGTTGTAATATATACCATAATATTCAACGAGACGATCAAGCCAAAGATAGTAGTGCCTTTATATTTAAGGAATCAATTAATCATTTTGGCAGACCAATAAAAAAAGCACAATAGTTTTTTATTAGTTATTATTAATAGCCACATTCTATAAACTTGTAGTATAGTAGTGGTTAATGTTTATTGTTTTTTTATATTTCCCTACTTTAGATGTATGATTATTATGTTTTATTATAAAATTTTATAGGTCTAGGGGGGAGGTAGCCGCCTCTACCTGTCCCTCGCTGGGTACGCCCTTGTTCAACGTATTATAAAAACGAATATTTTAAACTTTCAACTTTAACGTAAACAATATATCAAGTGTAAAGTCTTGGCTCAAGCTGTTAACCGCTATGGCTAACGTTAACGTTCCGTTGCGTAATTATTAACATAATATACATTTTTAGGTGTGTCTAGAAAGGGGATGGCGAGAATATACCGGTGATTGCGAGAACTGGAATCTCTGGTGGCGAACATCCGGCTTTCCAGTTAGTCACCATCGAAGTCTCTATGCTTGGCAGTACTTAAATCACATTCCAAAAGGTTCGTCAATATGTAGAAAAGATAATTTGGTCAGATATCTAAGGTGTATGAAGAAAGTTTACGGGTCCATATATGATTTTAGGTGAGTAAAAACTGAAAATAATTTATAGTAACATCATACTTTCAAATTTTATGCATAAAAAAGATAAAATATATGATTAATTAATGACTCGTTTTTTAGTCCACATGGATATAATTTACCTTTAGAATACACGAAGTTGGCTGCTGAATGCAGCAGGGGAAGGCCGCATAGTGGGAAAGAAGATACGAAACATTTTGAAGACAAACCGATTTGGATATGTAAACCAGTAGCCCAAAGTCAGGGTCGAGGTATTTTCTTATTTAGGGTAAATATTTATTTTACTTTTTTTTTAATGACGCGTATATTAGCTCGTATATTTTTTGATTGAATTGTTTTAGAAACTAAGTGAATTAAACTACGATACCAATACAATAGTACAGCGGTATATAGAAAAACCTCTTCTGATAGGTGGCTACAAATTCGATCTACGACTTTACGTGTGCATTCCTTCATACCATCCTGTAACAATATATATTTACAGGGAAGGTTTAGCACGATTTGGTACCGACAAATTTAGCTTAAATGATCTCAGGAATCCTTTCCGACATTTAACGAATTCTTCTATCAACAAATTGGGTCCTGGATATACCGAAATGAAAGATAGAGTGGGATCAGGTAAGATAATTTAGCTGAAATAAAATATATGAAACAAAATATAAGTTTTCTATCCAATTTTTCACCATGTAAATTTAACTAGCTTTAAATCTCTGAACTGATGAAGATATTTTATCTTCACCAAAAAACAGTACCTATATCATTTTTCATATATTTTTCTTATATTTTACTTATGTTTTATTTATATTTTACTTATATTTTACATTTATTTTGCTTATATTTTACTTATATTTTACCTATATTTTACTTATATTTTTATATTTTACTTATATTTTACTCATATTTTATTTATATTTCACTTACTTATATTTTACTTATATTTTGCTTATATTTAAATTATATTTTACTATTTAATTTATTTGATAGTCGAGTAATAAAAAATAATATTACATAATTTCTCTTAAGGATGCAAGTGGAACCTACGACAATTGAGACGATATTTTCAACAAGCTGGAATTTTAGACTGGCTGCTTTGGCAAAGGATTACATCATTGGTAATACTTACCGTACTGAGCCACGTCAGTCAGATACCACCGACTGTCAATTGTTTTGAGTTCTTTGGATTTGATGTTTTGATTGATAGTGCGCTGAGACCCTGGTTATTAGAAGTAAGTTCAGTATTTTGCATTGTTTTTATCTTTATTAGTTATAGGTAGCGTTAGAACTAACCCAAAAAACTGCGGCCTTTTGGGTTTATAGTATTCCCCTGTTTTCCCCGTGTTCAGGTACTACCTTTAAATCAGTCATACTCAACCTGCGACCCTCCAAGCTTTTTTTGTGGCCCGCAACACTATTATTGGTCGCAGCGCTAAATAGCATGCTAATTTTTAAATAAACGTTTGGAATTTTGTTGGATTACTGCTATTCATGATAAACAGATAGCAAATAAAAACTAACTCCATGTTAATATATTAACAATATGGACAAACAAGATGGAGTGGCATTTGTTCTAACATAATTATAACATTGTGTTCAATTGATAAATGTGTCTACCAAAACCAGATAATAGGCATATAACTTACTTATTTTTGCTAAATATATTTAGTCCGATAGTATTCCTGCCAAAACAAGATAAAGGCTAGAACCGAGGGAAAACCAATAAGGTCAAAACGTACCTGTATTTCGGAAATCACTTTAAAAAATGTTATGTAATTTAGGTGATTTTACTGAAAATCCACCTTAATTTTATACGATGATCTTTTTTCTCGCCATTTTGGGTTGTGAGCGACGAATTAATTTCGACCATGATTTAAGATGATGATTTTGGAATTTTCTAGAAAATGTGTAGTGATTTCGGTGATTTCCAGTGAAAACGTACCAGTATTTCGGGAGTGGTTTGCCGCTACTTATTTTTGTTGAGTGTGTTTGTTGAAATATTACAATATTTTGCCCACGCCATTTGTTTTGTTATGACTAGAGCCGTCTCTGGCCTTTCTCGATTGTTCTGAAATCCACGAGATGATTACGTCACTCTTTCTTTCCGCGATATAGCTAACCTTAAACAATTACTAAATAATAACAGCTGATGTTCGAATCTCCGTGGTGAACGAAACTTTGTGTGAAAATTCTTAAATAAAAGTATTAGTGGTAACAGGCGAATTTGAATTTTAATCATACTTTCCAATAGACAACGTATCGAAAGAATCAGCTATCCTAAATACATTCCACCAGAAAAATAGATTTAATTTATCAATGGGCGAGGGTGGAGAATTCGACTATATATGCCAAACTCATGCAATATTTTTTCAGAGGGATGCATAAAAGGATGAAAGAAAGTTTTAAAAATACTCACAAAAGAGTGCAAAAAGATAGATTTACTAAAATTTTGCAAAATCAGATACACCTGATGAGTTTCACCATTATTATCACAATCTACCTGTATCCAATAATGTTACTGAAACTTCGACTGAAGATAGTGACACATACATTGAATTATGGTTTGTATGTAAAGCTAAAATAAGCTAAGTGACGTTTTTCTCTCTTTGTTTACCAATTATTAATAGATTATTAGTTTATACTTTGTGAACAATATTTTTTAATACCTTCTTCATTGAAGTTAATAAACGGTTTGAAGCTTTTACTGATTTTTTATTCAGTTTTAACCCTTTGAATAGTGTTTTATCGATACTGTAAAAATGTTAGTTATCTTGTTTTTGGAGTACCACAACGGAATATATTTATGTTTTGTGTTTTATTTATTAGAGGTCCCCACTAACTCATTTTAGATAGATGATAGATGTCCTAAAAAAAAGGTCATCATCCAAAAATATTGCGGCCTGTGTAACATAGCACATATAAGAATGTGGCCCGAAGGAAAAAAAGGTTGAGTATGGCTGCTTTAAATAGTCCTGTGTATTCAATTAATTTTACTAGGTCTCCTACCAAGTGTTCCTGGGGCGTTTCCTCCGGTTTTAGACCGAAAAGGGCGAGTCGCCGTCTAGCAAGCGCTTCGCATTACAAGATAACATGGTATGAGGTTTCTTCCTCTTTTATGCAAAGTTACACATGGCGACATCATTACATCAAAAGGTTTCACCAAGCAGTGTCACGTTAATAATATTACAGTAGTGGACATCTGGGTTCTTGCGAGCTGTAGTAACTAAGTAGCCATGCATAGCTTTGGTTTTATCAACATGAGCTTGATGATAATGTATCCTCTTATCAGTCACCAGAGAGTTTGATGTTTAGTGATTATCAACCTGTTCACTGCCTATCGAGCAGAGGTTATGCTTATACCTTACAGGTTCGGATCCTGTAAATGGTAGTTTTTATCCCTCTTTGACAATTTCATTAGCCTTTTCAATTTCATTTGAATACCTGTATGTCCTGGTACCTCTGCTATGATTATGTTTAAACCAAGGGCCTTTATGGCTCTTTGGCTGTCTGATACAATTATGTTTGTTTTTTGTATTTTCTTCGTAAATTGTCAAATGCATTAGTTAGGATTAATGTCTTAAACTTTGAGATATAAAATTTAGTTATATTATATATTTTTAGGTTAACCTAAGCCCTGCCCTTAGTAATGATTGTGACGCTGATAGATTAGTAAAAAAGCCGATGTTACATGATATGTTCGACTTGTTGGGGCTGCCATTGTATAATACAGGTCTCTCAGTATTCGATATATTATCTGAAGAGACTGTAGATAACAAGTAAGTTTACTTATAAACTCAATGTAAATATGTTCTAACTCCATTTTTGTAACAAAATAAAGTAATCTCTTTATATTGATTAGTTATATTGTTTTAGAGAGGATCAAGAGAATAGGAATATAGCTTTGAAGAACACCATTTCAGTTGTAAATGCTGCTGGTAGGTGGAGGAGAAAACAAAAGAAAATGTCTGCCATTTATTCTAGGGCGAATTCTGCCATTAGAGTTAGAAATAGAGCCACATCTGCCAATTATCAAAGTAAGAAATAATGATCAATGCCGTTCTAAGCGATATCTAAACGTATATATAGTTTTACATAAAGTGAGGTAAAAGAACAAGAGGATATTGGCTGATGATATTAAAAAGGTTGGGAGTATAAAATGGAAAGAAGGTACTCAAACTTGGCAAAAATGGAAGGAATTAGGAGATTCATTTTGATGTTCCCTAAAATATAAGATTTATCTCTATAGTATTAACTCCCCTCAATCAACTAAAAGATAGAATTAAAACACACTTACTCCTTAGTAATAAAGAATATTTACCAAAAAATATAGCAAATACTTAAATTTTAATCTATATTAAAACTAAACTAATAATGCAATTAAATAAATAAAGTATAACTTAAAATAAACATTATGAAAATGTAACCCTAAAAAGTAGTTCAGCGACACTCAAACCATGTGAATCTTTAATTAATTTGCATGATTCGTTGTAGGATTTGATAGTTGCCGTATTGGAAGTAATTTAATTTATCTTTATATGACATTTAAATTGTTTTAGAGACTTACATAACATTGCCAAAAGTCCATGTAGATGTTCGACCAGTAGCTTCGCCTATACACGGTGGAACGACAAAAGCAGTAAGTTGAAAGGTCTTACACTCGTAGACAATAATTCATTAACCAAAGTTTTCTTATTAATTTGTCAATAAAAGCCCATTCCAAAATTCTCAATCTGAATCTTAACCACCTGCATAGTGACCAATTTAAAAAAGGGTATTATAATAAAGTTTTCAATTTTAAAAACTTACATTTAATTCGTGTGTTGTGTTATATTTCAGAGCTGTGATGATTGCAGAAAATCAGAAGCAAAACCATGGGGCAATGGAAGGGATTGGAATTATCCTAAACCGAGGGAGGGCGGATGGGTTAGAATTTGGCCATTTTCATTAGAAGTTCCAACAAAAAATAACAGTATGAATAATGGACAAATAAAAACTATGGTTAACAAGGTAATAATAAATAAACATATATTTTATCTCTAAATTATTCTTATACATAACAATCTATTTTTAGTCATAAAATATTTCCATATTCAAAATTATTACACTATAGTATTTGTCATCTGTTTGCAATTTATTTGTGTAAACTATGTTAATTAATTTTAAATGAAATAAATCTGATTTTAATATAGAATCGAATTTAATCGGTGTTAAGGATAATAGTACATAAAATGAAACGTATCGAATGAATGCCTATCAAAGAATGCCGTGCTAATCACCAAATATTCTTATGTGTCCCAGTTCGACGTATCGTTCTACGAAATATGAGTAGCACTCGTGAATCATGACAGGGTGGTCCTAGCCTAGCGATAAACGAAATATCCGAGTGGTTACAGTCGGCTAACCTGATAAATTTTCGCGTCCTCGCGAAGAGTAATCTGTAACATACAAAACAAACAAAATATTAATTAAACTGAAATTAATGAATGTGAGCGCGAATATTTCTATAACAAATATACGGCTCCACTAGTATCGCTTTCCGAAACTTTCGTAACAGTTTCATTTTATCTGAAGGACAAATGCCCGTATAAGCTGTCCTACAACGTTTGGACCCTGGCAGTTCGTCAACCACGTACCGATCGTCATCGAGTACGTTCCCAACTAGGGTCCTTTACAAAGGCTCAAGCTTCCTGCTTCGTCCGTCATTGGAGCCTTTATTTGCTTGGCCAACCTTCAATTTTCTTAACTGAGCATGCTCATTATCGTAACACATATTTTGGTACCTCTGCGCATCCTATCGGGGTTATGATGGACAATCAATGCTATTCCTAACTGACAGGCCATTTGTAAACATATTGTTATTGTGTTTACAAAATAACAGACCTGTCAAAAACAACACAAGTTGTCAATCATAAACCCCTTATCTTTTCAGAAAACTTATTTCTGATCATTTCCAAATCTGGACATTCGTTATCGTCACAGACTTCAGCCGTCAAACATCATTAACTCATCCAGGACCATCGAGATAGAATGAAGTAGAGACGACATAAACACTTTTTTGCCTTATAACAGATGAACGCACTTCGAGTAATGGAAAAGTGTAATAAAAATGACGACTTAAGAGTCGCACGTTGATTTATTTGAATTCAATAATTTTATGTTTGAAGATTGACGAAACGAAAATGTTTTTATATCACTTAATTGAAGTTATTTTACAAAAAGGCATTTTTCTCACCAACAGTGACTAGTATCGTGATAGTATCTCCGCTTCATTCCATCTCAATATCCAAATAGTTCGAAGGGAGTTTTCCCTGTAGTGGAATTAACGGTCAAATTAATTCCCCATTTTACATCTGCTACAGCTTCGTCCCAACGATTTTCGTCATTAGTTGAAGCTATAACTGTTCACCGTTCTACTTGGCCGTAAGCCCGATGAGTCTAAGTAGTACATACTACATGTTTAACACCTAAAGTCAAACATACCTGTTTAACACCTAAAGTTAAATACACTTGTTTAACACCTAAAGTTAAACACACTTGTTTAACATCTAATGTTAAACATATCTTAACACCTAAAGTTAACAGTATTCCTTAAATTTTTTTTTATAAAATCAGTGTCACAGTTGCAAATAAAACTGCGATGAACCCTGAACATTTCTATTACGTCATCTAGAAATTCAGTACAGACACCAGCCCAGTTTTTGTATTCTTGTATCAATTTTAAAAATACAAATTTCGTAAAGCCGTTAACTGCTACGATGAGATAAGAGTTTTCCCCAATACTCTTATATAAATTTCTTAAAACCGTTAATCGATATGATGAAATACGAGTTTTCCTAACACTTTTATAAAAATTTCTTAAAGTCGTTAATTGATATGATAAGATACGAGTTTTCCTAACACATTTATACAAATTTCTTGAAGCCGTTAATTGATATGATAAGATATGAGTTTTTCTAACACTTATACAAATTTCTTAAAGCCGTTAATTTATATGATGAGATACGAGTTTTCCTAACACTTTTACAAATTTCTTAAAGCCGTTAATTGATATGATGAGATACTAGTTTTCCTAACACTCTTATACAAATTTAGTAAAGTCGTCAACTGCTAAATGACCTATCACGAGGGTGATGCAATTTACTAACATTAAAATTATTAGTCATGCTGTTTTTTGGGATAAACCACCTCTTTCCTTTTGCAGTTTTTGAAAGTCGTCTATTCTTTAAACAATATTCTTTATAAATTTGTCGTTCGTCTTTCGTAATTATCTCTAGGATCTCGTGACAAAACATTCATAATATTGTTACAAGCGTTGTCTTGAAGTTGTGCTTAAAGTATCCGGTTAGCCTCCTTAATATTTACAATCATTACGTCAAGTGATTGATCCGTGGGTATAATAGTACTTCGGTTCAGAAAGTCTACGTGGCTGATCTTAGTGACATACACGGTATTCAATACCAAAATCGAATTCTTGAATTGATAGCCACTATCTTGCGATGCGAAGAATTAAATCTCGTTTTATACGGGTGTTACAAAGTAAATTACAATCGGTGACGATTTTAACTTTATGCCACTTAAAACTGAACTTTTTAAATGCGCATACAGCCGCCAAAGTTTCACGCTCATGAATAATATTTTTGCTCTTCTTTGGTTGTGGCTCTACTAAATATTATACTAGCCTAAAGTGCTGTAATTTTGATGTATAGAAGTATTCCTACTGGTCCGACTTTACTGGTGTCATAATGTTCTTCAGTTTTCACTTATCTGTTATAAATAGCATATATGGATCGTTCTACTAGCTTCTTTATTTTTAAAATCGCCGAATTTCGTTGATATCCTCAGGTGCTGCAAAATCTGCTATAGTGTGCTTGGTGTGTCGACTTCCATTCCGATTTGGGCGTCCTTTGCGGTCATCCTGCCTCTTCTTAGAGGTCTTTCGTCCTCCTCTCCGTCATGGGTCTTCATCCTCTATCCACCGGTCTTCATCATCCAATCCGTTGTGGGTCTAAATATTTTGTTCATAATCCTTTGTAAATACAGCAGGAGCATCAAAAGTCATACAGTATGAATCGTACATTACAGGTTCCCTATCGTTTAGTATGATCGACATTTCCGTAACAGTCATTTTAGCAACCTTTCGTAAATTAGTAGCGAAACAATCGCCACACTCGTTAAGTAATTTAAGTAATTTAGAATGTTCAATTCTATTTAATACTGAATTAGTTTGTTCCTCAAGATCAAATAACGTAAAATTTGGTAATACAGCAATATCTGTTGCTTATCAAGTTTTAAAAGGTAACTATCTTCGAAACTCTGGTACAGGTGTAACCTCTAGCAAGTATTCTGTCTTTTTCATAACAAACAGATTTATCGGACATATTGGCAACACGAATACAGTAACAATTACGTTAATAACACATGGTAAAATAATATGAAAATTGTTATCCTAATTTGTATATCCTAAATCAACAAAAACATCTTAGATCTACAAACATATCTTAGATCAACAAAAACGTATTAGATCAACAAAAATATCTTAGATCAACAAAAACACCCTTAACGTTTTCATTTTTAATTGGAGAAATGTCACCTACAAAATTCTGCGGAATAATAGTAGTTTCTTCTACACATAAATTAATTTTCTTAGACAAAAACTCGTTAATATGTGTAACGTTGACGTTATTTTAAAATAAAATATGTCATTCTTGGTTGCATCTAACGAAAACTGTAACCATATCATTATTAAAAAAATGGCTAACCTACAATAACAGGGACATCCTGTATATTAACCGGTACGTCATCGGTAGCTGTAGCTAAATCAACATTCAAAGTTGTCGTAATCTTTGAAAGTACTATAACAAAATCTCCCGCATAACCACACAAACGTAATAATGTGGGCTGACCCTGTAGATGCAACTTGACTGCATCCGATTCACGAATGTAACTGCATCACAACCCGAGTCTACAAAGCCTCGTATATATTCACCGTTAATAACACAATCAATAAAATAGCAAGTAGTAGACGCCTGATTATTAGATAAAATTAAAATTGGTTTCGACTCACCCTTATTTTGTCATCAGCTGGTCTTTTACTTACATTCATGCACAACGTCTTGTTTCGTGTCCTAACCGATAGCATTTTGTGCATTCAACACGTGGTTTCCTACACTTTGACTGAAAATTACATTTACTTTTACATTTAAAACATCAGGTTTTGTATACGGTTTAGTACTTCGTGTATTCGAAAGTGAATAACCTAACTCCACTTTCAGGAACGGCTTTATCAAACCCTCTGTTTTTTTTTGAGTCGATATTTCAATGATACTTTCCTTACGTAGCATTGGCAGGTATCCTTCAAACAATGCCTCTGGTTTTTCGTAACGACCAGCGCGAGCAGAATTGTGGATGGTTACTTATGATTTCGTCTTAATATTCTCTCTATTACTGTTTCAAACTGTCTAATTCTAGCTTCATATGTAACACTTGCACTTTTTGACTGGAACAGGAATATAAGCCATGAGATGCGCTTTGTACTATATTTTCTCGCGATATACTTAACTATCGCTTCTTTTTACGACCCCCTTCGTTAAAGGGTGACCTATTGTCACTATTGTCTCGTCTCGTCGGAATATAATTACGTTCAGATCGTACATCTACAGAGTCTAAAATCTTTGCTCATTGTTCTTAACACGATCAAAATACCAAGTTCTTAACACTATCTTAACACGAATCACTGAATAACTTAACTAATGGTATCCGTTTTATTTACGTAACAACTTAGGTTTTTGCACGATCTGTAAAGTATTTCACTTACGCCACGTACGTTTTTCTTTAACAAAGGTAAGCAGTTAGTTCACCCCACACCTGAACTGTAAACTATGTTAATTAATTTTAAATGAAATAAATCTGATTTTAATATAGAATCGAATTTAATCGGTGTTAAGGATAATAGTACATAAAATGAAACGTATCGAATGAATGCCTATCAAAGAATGCCGTGCTAATCA